TTGAGACAAGACAGACATATGATTTGACTATCAGTTAACTTACTATTATAAATTGGAAGAACCTGCCCTTAGTCGCGAAGAGATTCGCAATTCTAGCTCAGTTGCCCGGAAAAATTTGGGAAAGTTGTGTAGACTGTCAGATCCTGAGACGATTGGTGAACGTCTGAAGGTCAATTGACGAAATTCGCATGTTGAATTTCTCGAGTCCTCTCAGAGTCCACGACGCGCTTCTCGCTCCGACCGATCGCCTATAAAGGATCATAACAAGAATACACGAGGCGACGGCACGGCGCAAGGTTCGGCGGTTAACCGAGAAGGATCGCCGAACGGCGAGAACGGCGCGCCTAACGTGACGGCGTTTTCTGCTCTTGCATATTCGCTCGCGGCGCGGCGGGGCACATCGCGCGCCAGCGGCGAACTAACGCCACTTGGGGGGCAGACATATGAGCACACATGGGGCGGCAGTCACCACCTGGCACAGCGTAGTTGAATACCGAGCCACCCCTATACGCACGTAACTACATACGCACCCCGAACGCGCGGCGCGGCGCGCCGGTGCGACCCCAACCCCTCGACTTGGCTCGTGCCACCGTACATTGTCGTAGGATAGCGCGACGCTTCTCGCCGCTGTTCGGTCGTAAGGATGAAGGTGGTGGAAGAGAGAGAGAGAGAGAGAGAGAGAGAGAGAACGCGAGCGATCGAAGATGCGTGTCGCCGGCGAAATCGGGTTTCCTCCGCTCGTCCTTTGGATCCTTTCCCACGTGTCTACGTTCTCTCCGGCCTGCTCGGTCCGTTTGACGTTCGTTCGGCGCTCGAATTCCCAATTCGGCGTACGTCGTCGTCGAGCGTCGTCGAGCGATGTACGCCAGTGACAAGACAGAGACAGGAGTCAACGAACGCTAACCCAGCTCGATACGGTGATTGTGATATCGATTACTGCGAGCTGTGTATGCGCGCGCGCACGCACATATACACACGCACGGTACTTTTTCCTTTTCGTGCCCGATGGTGCATACCGGTGGCGAGTGAGGGTGATGACGGTGAGGGTGAGTACATATGAGCCGGTGAATACTTGTTTCCCAGCCCGACCAACGGCGAGATTGTATTGCGCATTGTCGAGGGTCGATAGGTTATCGGTTAACCGGCTCGTGGATGCCACGTGCGGGTACGTTATGTGCGAATGTATATATGTGCGCATGCGTGCACGCGTGCGTGTGTGTGTGTGTGTGCACGTGCGTGCGTGCGTCGTTTGTCGCGGGCAATGAGAAAGCGACAGTTGATCTTCCGATGTAGTGTGGCTTCGCTTCTCTCTCTGCGAGAACCTAACCGAGCCTAACATTTCCCCCCTCGCCCGTCTACATACGTGTATACTTTTCTTCGAAAGATATTTTCGAAAAAAAAAAATTATCCGTCGGCTTGACAAGTTCCAAACTGAGAGAGACGGGGAATCCGGAGAGATCGAATTTTTCCTACGAGGTGTGCATTTTCTCTTTCCGGCTCCCTTACAATTTACCCCTTTCATGAACGTTAATTAGAGTTAACTCGAATTTAATTTATTCTTCGTCAGTCCTTAGACACAAGAGTAGAGAGAAAGAGAGAGAGAGAGAGAGAGAGAGAGAGAGAGAGAGAGAGAGAGAGAGAGAGATAGGTAGGACTCTCAACTGAAAGCTTCGTTATAATTAATATTTAGCTGAACACTTGGTGTCTCTCTCTCTCTCTCTCTCTCTCTCTCGCTGCAAGAACCGTCGTATAATACACGGCACTACCACACCCGTTCGAGTCGAGACGCGAGTCAGCGATCAGCGCGCAGAGGTAACGAAATTTCTCCCTGCGTGGATCTCGCCGGGCACGCGGCCTGCGCAGGCAGGCTGCGCTTTATTTTTAACCGCACTCGCGGGATCTGTACCCTTAATCGTATGAGCCCCCTGCGCCGGAAAACGGCTGGCGTAGGTACGTGTTTCTGACGTGCTTGCGCGTCGGAAACGGATGTCGAGAGGCGTTAATCTAAAATTAGAAGTGTCCCTGATACGATTCTCCGTCTCCCTCTCTCTGTCCGTTCCTTTTCGCTCGCCCCCTCTTTCTATTCCCCCTCGCGGAGTATTAGTATTATGATTTGGCCCGCTTGGCGTACACGCGTTTCGTGGCTTCGCTCTAGGCGCCTGAGTCACGACCGTTGGAGCGTACTTGCACATGTTACACAGCCGCAGCCGCTGCTGCTCGGCTCGGAGCCGCTCGGTGGCCTGTCTGTCGGTGGAATGTCGCGTTAATTAGCAGGGGGCGACCGATGGGTGGTGTCGTTAATGTAGCTGACTTTACGCTGATACGAAATGGCGCTGCGTAATTTTTTGGCAATCAAGGACCAACATCCGACGTCGGTGCTCTCGCTGAGCACCTTTCATTCTTATCCCGTGTTTGTAGCATCGCTATTCGGTACCGCTTTCGTTATCCGCCGATTATCTTCAATCAGTCATACAGCTAGCTCTTCCCGCGAAGGTGAACAGCGTTAAAGGACTCGTTCTCCCGCCTCGTTCACCGTTCGGGTGAAGAGAGCGAGACGGAGAGAATGGGAGTGGGATGTAAGTATCGACGCGAGGGTAGCGGAGCGAGAAGGAACGTTGAAAACAACGATACGTTGAACCGCCGACCCTCTTCCACGAGGGCCAAGGTTCTCGACTTCGTAGGCTGCGTTGCGCCCGCCTGCAAACTCGCGTCGCCAATTCGTCCTCGGCGAGGCAGCGCCGGGCGGGAGTCGGGCGAGCGAGGAGACAATATTGCGTATTGCGAGGGTGCGCGTTACGGCGAATGCCTCGACTTCCTGCGGAAGTTTGTCACGGTGCGAGTAGATACAACACGAGGAAGAGGGAGATAGAGAAAGCCGGGGGGACAGGAATCGCGGTTGTTCCTCCTCTAATTCCGCTATTACGTTGCCCGCTGAGATTACGTCCTTAACCTTCCTGCTTGACCTCCTTGAGATCGACATTCCTTGAATATCCCTTCTTTGTTTGGTACTTTTTTTTCTCTCGCATCTTTCGTCTCGCCTCGGCGACTTGTATGAGGAGACTTCTAAGGGCTGCATTTTCTTGTGTCCACTGAACGGTAATGCGACTGTATTCTACCGAGGACTACATTCGCGAGAAAATAGCGCAGGAATATTGTGACCGGAATCCACGTCCTTTGTGGTCTTTTTCCTCGCTTTTGACGGGAGTCTTTCTTTCTCTCTCTCTCTCTCTCTCTCTCTCTCTCTCTCTCTCTCTCGCTCTCTCTCTCTCTCTCTTTCTCTTTCTCGAGTTGAGAAACGCAACGTGGGAGACACCTCCCACATTCCCGTTTAAGGGATATAAAATTGCTCGCTTCGCAGTAGGCGGCAAAAAGTAGGGAAAAGGAATAAGAAATAGCCTGGCCGAAAATAAATATTGCCTTTGCGGCGTACGCCTACAGAGAAGAAATGACGCTAAGAAGCGCCATTTTTATGGAACCTGTCACAACTGCAGAATATATCCTGATAGGCACATTTTATAGCGATAATTAATTGTTTTTGTCGCAAAGTCACATTAAAACGGTCCAAATGCGCGAGTACTTTCTCCGCCAGTTATTATGAGAGGTCTTTATGGTGAAAAATATTTCTACACCATTTGTCGTTATTCTGTCCGGATTTCGGACTGTGTGTACTTTCGTATTGTTGTATTTTTCGGGGGTGACACCGTGAGATAAATCGAAGCGAAAGATACACGATACGAGACACGCGGTGCCGTTGCTGGAGATGCTTAACGTGCCGACCGTTTCGTCCCCTCGTCGCCTCATTGGTGCGACATGAAACGATTAAACGACCGGTCCCTCTATGTCTCGTGTTCTTCCGGCCGACTGCAGACTGGTCTCGCATTATGCGGGAGATAGGGATGACTTTGTGCGCATTCTGCAACGCGACGCTCGTATTCGCGAGGAAAATATAAGAAGATGAAGAGAGGTGGATTTCCTTCCTTTCCAGCAGTTTGCTGAAACAGAGTTGCGCGTGTGATTGCACTCATCACATTTTTGTCAAGCCACCCGATTACTCCGTAAAGATCATGTCTCTTGCGCTCCACGCTCATCAATCAATGTGATCGATGTAACGATAATTTATCAATTATCTGGAGCTCTGTAGGGAAATTTTATACGATTAAAGATAAGTTTAGATAACGCAAGAAGGTTTGATCCAAGGTTCGAATTCGGGACATTCCGTGTCCTTTCATGTGGTCCGCATGTGTGACGTATTTTTCTCGAGTTTCGAGTCTTCAGCGATGTGGAGGCACTTGCCACGTGGAAATCGGCTCGATTGTAATTTAGCACGTGTCGCAGGGAGCGAGTGACAGATGCGAGGACATGTCTTATAGAAAGATACGCCGCTAACAATGCGATAATAATGCCGACGGCGTGATAGCTCTCCCCCTCCCCCCTCTCTCTCTCGCGGTGTGATCATTATCTCCCCGTAGTTTCGTCTGTAGGTAGTACGTCTGTTCGGGATCGAAGACGACTGATTATTATCGGGCCGGCAGGGGAGGAGGGGAGAGGGAGAGAAGAAAACGAGAAAGCCAACTCTGCGGCAAATAAAAAAATGACCGACCGACCGCGAGACACGGGTGATTTTCATTTTCAGGGCCGTTCCTCTTTATGATGACAGCATCCGTGCGCGCTGTCGCGCGGCGCGTCTTGCATGCGGTTAAGAGATTCGCGAGAAATCGGCATACGGCCGGCATAGGTCCCATGTGCGGCCCTATGAAAGAAAGACCATGTGTTCCCTTCTTTCGTTAATCACGGTTATACCGGTCGGGCCTTTTGTGCGGATATCCTCCGTCCTGCGGCTCCGTCGTGATTTCTGCGCTTATTCTGATTTCTCGCATCGCGCCTCGGCTAGCTTTGCGAGAAATTGAGGCGATTTCGGCGAGGCGCGTTTCGAACGCGAGCCGCACGGAACGTCATAGTTACCTAAACCTTCTTCAACCAAGTCCTCTCTTGCTTTTCAGATACCTTCGACACCTCTCGTCGAGTGAGCGGCCGCAGGAGCGAAGGGTGAGTCGCAATTATAATACATAAATTATGCATGTTATATTTATTTATATTGCTGGTATATCGTTATGAATTAGTAGTACCTATCGCGATATGTTGTTTCGACGCTTCGTCAAGCAACCTGCTCGACGTGTGGCTGCAACATAAAAAGATTCAGGGCTCTTGATCGATTACGTCAAAAGCGAGAAATACACGATAAATAAAAAGCAAAATAGCCCGAACGCCTGCCTTTTTTACTGTAACGATCAGTGCGACGAAAATTAACGTGACGTGGCATTTTTAATCCTTTTGCGTAATTCTTTCGCGTCGATTTTCGATTTTGTCATTTACCGACTGTCAGAGTAAAAGAAAAGTGCTCGGGCTATTTTCGAGATAGCTGCGGAGAACGCAGTCGAGGGGCTAAGAAGAAAGAGACGCGTCGGAGGTTTGATTAAAGCTCCGAAACGCCAATATTCACACGTCCGCCCCTAACGACGACACGATTTTATCTGCTATAATCCGCGAGGGCTTCTCGTCAGACGCCGATAAAAGCCTGTTAAGTCGCCGACTCGAGTCGAGCGCAGCTCTGTCGCCGTCACGGAACGTTCGCCGGACGCGCTCGAGACGCGTTATCCGGGCTGGCCGGCTGAAAAAAGCGCAGCTCCCCGCCGAACAGATCAGAAATTGTCCCGCGATTATTAATAAAAGTAGGAACACGTTTTATAGGGCGCGCCAGTTTCGTGAGAATTGACCCTTCGCTTTTCCACTCGTTACACCGCCGCGGAGGGCTTCATTCATGCCCGCGGCGGCTCATTCATCGGGTCTCCAGAGAGGTCCTTTCTCTCCTTAGACTCTCGCTCGTACTATCGCTCCTGCCGCCGTTCCCGACGAAGCGGAGATCTCAGACTGACCCGATGCTTAAACTCAACTTCGTGCTCAGACATAGATTTCGACCTTTCTACCTCCCTCCCCCCCCCATCTCTCTCTCTCTCTCTCTTTCTGTCTTTCTCTCTCGTTTTCGTTCTTTTTCCATCCTCCGGCGTCTTTTTGATCCGACTGGCGGGAAATGACGGCGCCCTTCTGGTCGCTAAGCCTTTGCGCCTCCCGCGCCTTCCCGACGCGTCGTATGCGTGTTCGTTAGCCATAGGACACATCCCGCTTTATCTCGTGATCTAGGCTATTGTGCACTTCTTCTTTGGCCCTTCCCGCGAGATGCACGTGCCACTCGCGCGCGCGCGTGCGCGCGTGCGCGCGATTGTCTCGATCGGAACACCGCGGGAACACTTTGCGCCCGGTCCTCGTGCCTGTGTGGTCCTGCGGATTTAATTACGCGTATTAGATCCTCGGTTGGAGCACACAGAATGTATAAAGTAACACGGGATATCTGAAACGCGCGCGACGATGGGCCAAGAGAGCCGGATGTACGTCTTTGAAGGTCGCCACACCTACACCCACCCTCATAGCCCTTTGTCCTCGACAGTTCACCAGACGATCGTGCATATCGCGTTCGTGCGAAAGTACGCTAAGCAGACAGAATAATCTTATCATGCATGGTTAGGTAAGATTGTTAGGATCTCTTGCTCGCACACGTTATTGACTGATTCTTTATCGATTGTCCAGAAGCGGGAACAATGTGATAACTATATGTATATGTTAATAAACATTATTGGAAACGAATAACGTGCATTGAGAGAAAAGGATGTAGAAAATAAGAAAAGATATTTATTTGGTAAATATTAATAACAAATTTGAATTAGATCTGAATGTCTTTGTTTCAAAGGAATTTAATTTGTTTAGAAAAAAAATTATTTTCACACATTGTTGATGACTGAAAAAATAATATATATTCTCCAATGACAAAATATGTTTCTTTTTTTTTTTTTTTTTGAAGCGTAGTTCTTCGCGAAAACAATTTTTTTTCTCTAAACAAATTAAATTTCTTTTAAACAAAAGAATTCAGATTTAATTCAAATTTGTCATTAATACCAAATAAATATCCTTTCTTATTTTTTAGATCTTTTTTTCCCAATGTGTATAAACATAGGTAAATGCATAATCAGTACCTACCGCATAGATCTTTTTTATATCTTTAAAGATATCTTTTCTTGGCGTACCTGCTTTGAAAATACTAGTCACTTTACTATAGTAAGTGCTAAGATTATTCTGCTGGTGTACGTCTTCAAAACATACCCACATCATTTGTTATTATACAAATGTTGCACAAGAATAAAAAAGCAGGTAGAGAAAGGCCGACTTATTCGTCAATTTCAATGACTTGTTGTTTCTTAATGCGATTGTGTGTTAAAACGCGTTAGATGCACTGAGATCAATCTCTCTTTGTGTCTTCATTACGGGCGCGAACACGCGGGAGCTTAAAAGAAAAAGAAAGAAAAATAATATCCGGTTGAACGAAGTGCGTAGAAAAGCCTGAGACTTCTTTGTTCCAAGACGAAGAATTTATGTCCTCCTCACAAGTGCCGTGCTTCTTTCAAGCCCTTTCTTGATAGATCTAACGTTCCCCGTCCCCGTTGCCCCTCCTGCGTTCCTTCTCTTTTACCGCCCCTCACATCACTTCTATTTATCTTGGAATGAAGAGAAGTATACGGCTGAACACAAAGTATACCTCAGTAGAACGTGTTCTACTACGAAGTATTTCGAAAGACGCAGTATACGCAGCAACGGTTAGAATCTTGACGACCATGCGTTAGGAATTCAAATGACTGTGGTTGCCAGTCATTTGATTCGTTGTTCCTAATTTACGAGACGTTACTTTATACTTTCCTATTGTAAGTTCCTCGTCCATTGACGTTGAGTTCAATGCACCACAGACATTATGTTATGCGGCTCCGTTGCAAAGATTGTAGCGCAAATATTTTTAAATCGAAATATTATCATTTCAAATCGAGTAATATCATTTTCAACCAAAATTTTGTTTTATATCCGAATAAATTAGTACGGGTGAAAATAATATTTTGCCACTAATTTTAATAGCAATTTTCGCCATCAGTTCAAAATGCCGTTGATCCAAGGAACTAATAATTGACGTGTACATTTTTTTTTTTTATTATTTCGTTAATGTAAACTCTTGAGATGAAATCTTGATTAGAAATGGAGTGTGTTTGTTATATCCTTCAAATCTGTATACATCAATAAGATAGTAATGAAATGATAAGTACGAATTTGTTGAGAACAGAAGTATCGATTCGCGCACGCCGGCAGAAGGTTGCACGCGGCTCGGTCATCATGAATTTTGGTCGACGGCACTTTTTTATCGAACAGTACCGCATATTGTACGATTCCCCGCTGGATCGCGAGGAAGCAGCTGATTCTACGCGCGCGCGCCATTCTTGTCGGTCGCATTAAAGAAGGGAAGACACCGACACGGAGAGAGGCGAGCTTTAAACTTTATCTTGGCGTTAAGATAACTTGACATGATATTTGAACTTCGCCCTTTCCACGAACTTATATCGTGAAAACGCACAATGTAGAGCGCTGATAACGATGTTTGCGCGTGCAAGCTAATCAGCCAAAATAAGTAGAGATCATCTACGAGGAGAACCCGATTGCCTCAGAAGGAAGAGAGTGGAAAGAGAGAGAGAGAGAGAGAGACAGAGAGAGAGAAAGAGAGAGAAACTAAATTGTGATTGTATGAAATGTTGAGAATATTGACGCTAAAGTGGCTAAAATGTAGCAAAATCATAAAAGTAGCTCTTCCCACGGAAATATAATATTTCTTTTATACAGATAAGATTTAAAGTTAAAAAATGGGCGGTTTGCAATTTCTTTTACAAATACCCAAATTTTACATAACATTTTATGCATTCAATGCATAATATTGCAAATGCATTTTATGTTTTCAATGTGTGAACATTGAACCAAAACTAAAATAAATAAAAATTTTCGCTCTTGTATAACATATTTTTTTTTTATTTTTTATTTTATTTTATTTTATTTTTATTTATTTTTTTTTTTTTAATTGTCATCTCGACCGTTTCGTTAGAAATAAGTCATCGTCCATGGCTTCAGTGTTAAAAGATTACGAATAATTCAAATCATAAAGTTCTCCCACCCCTGCTCTCTACCCGTCATTTGCCGATCAACCATCAAGCTGTTGAACAATACTCCCGTGTACAGTTCATACTTAAACACCGTTTTCGCAGCAGTGTTTTCAACAGCCTTGCGGAAATAAACATCACCGAGAGACACAGTCAAGGACGACAGAAAAGTGATCGTCTTCTCCCGCGAGATGAGAGCCCGTATAAGTCGATGAATTAAATTTCCAAAAGGACCGTCCCATTGCGATACCCCGGTACCCCCGTTCCTTATGAGTCCGAGAGAAAGAGCGGCAGAGAGGGGGAGGGGGAAGAAGAGCGTGATGTCGATGATAAGGCGCTCGAGGAGGAGAGGACGAACGAGCCGAGGTCAAAAACCGCGACGATCCCGCGCCGAGTGAGAGAGACTGTACGCACGAGCGTGTGCGACTACACGCGCGGAGAAACTTTAACGCGCGCATCTCTCTCGCGGTGAATGCAAATGCTCGCCGGTTCTCGTTCTGGGAAGCGTTGGTAGAGCTCTTTGCCGGACGCCGGCTCTCTCTCTCTCTCTCTCTCTCTCTCTCTCTCTCTCTCTCTCTCTCGTCTCCACATTCCAAACAGCGAACAGCAACAACGCTACACCATTGGCCGGTGTTTCCCGCCGAGACGTTCCGATACGGGAACCAGTTTCTCCGACGCGTCGCGTCGCCTCGCGCCTAGGGAACCTCAGCTGATCGCGCGGTCGCCCGACGCGGACAGCCCGGCGTTGCTACGTCGAGCAACGATACGATTTCCTCGTTCCCGCGTCCGGAGGGAAGGGAAACCCTGGTCGCTTTTCGGCGATGTCTTTAACCTCCCTCGACTCGCCCATATCGGTCTGTCAGAGACCGTCGATGTTCTTCGGAAAGCATAAACGTTATCGTGTGCGAGCATCTCGTAGCGTGGAAACCAATATTTATGTCGCAACGTGTAATGTATTCCGTCCGTATT